CCTCAATTTCTTTTGGCCTTCAGTTAAAATGCTACCTTTCCACTGACTCTCCCTAATCAACCTCCTGTACTCCTTAACCATGTTTCCTACATAGCTTCTCCTTAGCATTTATAACTAACATTTTTGTATATTTCACTTAAAAATTTTTTTTCACTTACGTTTTTAAATTGTCTTCCAATGTGTAAATTCCACAAGGGGCATTTTTTTTTTTTTGGTTTCCCTACTCATTGTGACTGTTGTATATTCTCAGTCTCTAGGACAATTCCTGGCATGAATAGATGCTCAATAAATATTCATTGATTGAATATGATGGAATTATAGTAACCAGAAGTTTTATGTCTCCCAGTTTCCTCGACTAGGAACTTGAGGCATTACCATTGCCAACTAGGCTTCCTCCAGTTGGTTTCACAAGAGGATGCTAGACCAAGAGCCCAAACCCACAGAGACCACATGGCTTACAGGAATCAGCGAGATCAGCTTCGAGGTTCACACATGAGGATTATACTTTCCAGGGATGCCCAGAGACTGTGGAGGAGCCCCAGTGCCAGCATACCACGGCCCCCACCTCTGCACCCTCACCAACCGGTTCTGCAGATTCCCCAACCTCGGCGTTCCCTCCCCGCCCTCGGGGCCCTCCCCACACCCCGCTCTCAGCGATCCCCCCCGCTCCGCCTTCGGGTGCCGCCCCGCTCACTTCCAGTCCCGCCCCACGCCCGGCTTCCGGCTTTCTCACGCTCCGCCCACTCCGCGTCCCGCCCTAGCTCTGGGTTTCGCCAGCTGCTCCTGGCGCACGGAGGACGAGGGGGCGGTGCCCGGTGTCCTGGAGAAGCGCGGCACCTGGACTTCCAGGCACAAAGAGCGACCCGCGGACTCGGGTTAGGATACGCGTCCTTGCTCAGCGCCCTTGGCCCGCGTGGAAACAGGAGACAGTTCAGGTGAGCAGGGCCGGGGCGGAGCTGCTGGGCCGCACGTGCGGGCGGAGGTCCGGCAGGCGGCGAGCTTCTCCCGTGGGGCTGCGGAGCAGCGAGGCAAGCATTTTGGGGCTGCGCCTCAGGAAGTAGGCAGGTAGAGACGAAGGTGTCTTGGCCCGCGACTCTGAGCAGAGCGAGGACGGGGGTGAGAACCTGCGGCAACCCCGCTTCCCCGCCTCTCGCCTCCGTGCCCTGGGACTGGCCTCTGCGTGAGGTCTGTGTCCTCCCCTCGCCTCCGGGCATTGAGGCCACAGGTTCGGTAGGTGTGACGTGATGTCCTGCTTTTCCCGTCACCCTGGAGGGCTGGGGTCACTTTAACGTATCCTAAGGCAGCCCGGTTGCTTGACTCAGCCTTTAAAAACCCGATCTTAACAATTGGGGAGGTTTCTGAATGTCGGTGCCCCTTTGAGTAGAATTTGCAGTGTTTCAGCCCCTTTGCTAACGTGGACGTTAAATTTGTGGTGTGCGATCCGGGATCGGGCGTGGGCAGAGATTTCATTGGGAACTTGGAGATTAGACGTTTGGGGAGAGCCATGGCAGAGGTGGGCCACTGCAGCCTAACTTTGCTCGGCAGATGCGCCGCTGCCGGCAGGCAGGTGGGCCGACCCCACCAGTGCCAACTACCTTCTGGTTTCTCCTGTCACCTACAAAACGCGAGGGCCCCCTTCCTCTGCCAAGTAGAATTATTCCAAAGAATCATTTGTAAATAAGATTGCATCCCACCATAGAATAACTTTTTAGGTTGTAGCTGTCTCTTTTTGTTGTATTATGAGTTTGCATTTGGAAAAATTGCTTGAAATAAGACTCCACTCTCTGGGGCGGAAAAGTCTGTCGTGAGTTTTATCTATTGTACTTAGCTGTTTGGCAGAATTGCCCCTTTCCTCCCATCTATGTGCTCAGTCACAAATGCTGTATAGGAGTCTGTCCAATCTCTTTGGGAGTTTCACACTCATAACTGTGCCCTGGTACGTTGTTAGGAGCTCTGTGTAGGTCTGTGTGTTTGCACAGGATGGAAGTGAAGAAGGGTCACTTAGTTCCTTTCTGCTCTAGGCGTCTTTGGCCAAGCTGTGGAACAGGGAGTAGGTCCAGGGAAAGAACTGTGAAGCTGAAAGGCTTGAAGAAAGTCAAGTGAGGCTCAAGGTCCCACCACCAACACTGTCAAGGAGGGATGGATTATGATTGACAGTGACTTTGAGGCCTTTGCTGTGGTTTCCAGGTTTTTCAAATTGGTCTTAGAATACTTTTAAAAGAAGATTTAAAAATTAATGATAGTTAAAATTGGTCTATTAAATAGCACTGTCAGCAGCCTCACATTTTTTATAGCTGTGTGCAAGGGTATGTGTATATTAAAAGAAAAATGCTAAGGCGGTTAGGGAAGCAGGCTACCACTGTCTTTCCTGTCCCTTTTCTGTTTGGTTTACGCATCTAGTGGTTTAAACTATTACAAATTTACTGGCCTATATTGTCAACTATATGTGTTTAAATATAGTTTAGATTCAATAAAAATTAGAAGATAATCATTTTTGCAGAATGAGAAAACTTTTTTCAAAGAACTTGAACTTCAGATAACATCATATTAGAAAGAGAACACTTTATACAGGAAAAGTTGGGGGTTAAAAATTTTTAATTTAGTTTATATAAACTTTGACAGAAAACTTATTCTCTGAATTGTACTTATCTCATATATTGCCATCTGCAGAGCTGCTTGGAGATGGGTGAACTGACAGTCATTTGCTAATAGTATATTGTAAATCCCTTAGTTTTAGTGTGTACTTTGTTCTGAGTCCTTAGGAACATTTGGTGATGGAAAATAGAGTAACGGAAGAGATGCAAAGTTCTAACCATAAGTATTCAAAGTATTTAGATCCTGTCCTTTTATGGTGAGTAATTTTTTGAGGAACCTCCATAGTGTTTTCCATAGTGGCTATAACAATTTGCAATCCCACCAACAGTGCAGGAGGATTCCCTCTTCTCCACATCCTCACCAACACTTTGTTGATTCATTGATGATAGCCATTCTGACAGATGTGAGGTGATATCTCTTTGGGGTTTTAATTTGCATTTATTTCCCTGATGATTAGTGATATTGAGCATCTTTTCTCCTGTTTATTGGCCATCTGTATGTCCTCTTTGGAGAAATGTCTATTCAGGTCCTCTGCACATTTTTAAATTGGATTTTTTTTGCGGGGGAGGGAGGTGTTAAGTTCTATGAGTTCCTTATATATTTTGGATATTAACCCCATATCATTGGTGAATATCTTCTCCCAATCAGTAGTTCTGTTGATGGTTTCCTTTCCTGTGTAAAAACTTTTTAGTTTGGTGTAGTCACATTTGTTTTTTTTTCTTTTGTTTTCTATGCACAAGGAGACATATCTCCTCCACAACTTCTGAGTCCTGCCAAGAGTTTACTGCCTATGTTTTCTTGTAGGATTTCTATGGTTTCAGGTCTCACATTTAAGTCTTTTAACCATTTTAAGTTTATTTTCGTATATGGTACGGTCTGGTTTCATTTTTTTTCATGTATCTGTACAATTTTCCCAATCTCTTTATTGAAGAGGCTGTCTTTACTGCATTGTATAGTCTTGCCTCCTTTTTCATAGATTAATTGATAATATAGGCTTTGGTCTATTTCTAGGCTCTCTAGTCTTTTCCATTGATCAATGTGTCTATTTTTATGCCAGTACCATGCTGTTTTGATTACTGTAGATTTGTAGCATAGTTTTATATCAGGTAGTGCGTGATATCTCTAACTTTTTCTACTTTTTAAAGATTGCTTTGGCAGTTTGGGGACTTTTGTGGTTGCATATAAATTTTAGGAGTATTTGTTCTGTGAAAAATGCCATTGGTATTTTGATAGGGATTGCATGAGTCTGTAGATTGCTTTGGGTAGTATGGACATTCTGATGATGTTAATTCTTCATATCTATGTGCATGGAATATTCTTTCATTTATTTGTATCTTCTTCAATTTCTTTCTTCAATGGCTTATAGTTACCTAAATACGGATCTTTTACCTCCTTGGTTAATTTTGTTTCTTGGTATTTTATTCTTTTTCATGCAGCTGTAAATGGGGTTGTTTTCTCAATTTTTCTTTCTGATAGTTCATTATTACTGATTTTTGAATATTAATTTTGTATCCTGCAGCTTTACCAAAGTTATTAATCAATTCTAATGGATTTTGGTAGAATCTTTAGGGTTCTCTGTAGTATCATGTCATCTGCAAATAATGACAGTTTTACTTCTTCCTTTCCAATTTGGCTACCTTTTATTTTTCTCATCTGATTGCTGTGGCTAGGACTGCCAATATTGTGTTCAATAAAAGTGGTGAAAGTGGATATCTTTGTCTTGTTCCTGATCTTAAAGAAAAAACGTAGCTTTTTGCTGTTGAATATGCTGTTAGCTGTGTGTTTTATTATATCTGGCATTTATTATGTTGAGGTATGTTTCTTCTATCCCCATTTTGAGAGTTTTTTAAAAATTATAAATAGATGTTTTGTTAGATGTTTTTTCTGCATCTGTTGATATGATCATGTAATTTTTATCCTTCATTTTGTTTAAGTGGTGTATTACATTAATTGATTTGAGGATATTGAACCAACCTTCCATCCCAGGAATAAATCTCACTTGATCATGGTGTATGATCTTTTTAATGTATTGCTGAATTTGGTTTGCTAATAGTTTGTTGTGGATTTTTACATCTATGTTCATCAAGGTTATTGGCATTATATATATTTGGTAATGTGTTTGTCTGGTTTTGGTATCAGGGTACTGTTGGCTTCGTATACTGAGTATAGAAGCCTTACCTCTTCTTCTTTTTTTTTTTTTTAATTTTTGGAATAGTTTGAGAAGGATAGGTATTACTTTTTCTTTGAATGTTGGTAAAATTCACCTGTGAGCCGTCTGGTCCAGGAATTCTGTTTGTTGGGAGTTTTTTGATTACTAATTTGATTTAATTAGTAATCAATTTGTTCAGATTTTCTGTTTCTTTCTGATTCAGTCTTGAAAGATTGTTTTTAGGAATTTATCTATTTCATCCTGGTTGTTTAATTTATTGGCTTATAATTGTAGTATTTTTTAAAATCCTTCATATGTCTGTGGTGTCAGTTGTCATTCTCTTTCATTCCTGATTTTATTTATTTGAAACCTCTCTTTTTTTTTTTCTTGATGAGTCTGGCCAAAAATTTATTAATTTTGTTTATCTTTTCAAAGAAACAGCTCTTGGTTTTATTGATCTTTGCTGTCGTTTTAGACTCTACTTCGTTTACTTCTTTGGTCTTTATGATTTCCTTTCTTCTGCTCACTTTGGAATTTGTTCTTTTTCTAGTTCCTTTAGGTATAGGTTATTTATTTGAGATTTTTCTTGTTTCTTGAGGTAGGCCTGTATTGTTCTGAATTTCCCTCTTTGCTTTGCTGTGTTCCTTAGATTTTGGGTCATTTTGTTTTCATTTTCATTTCTCTCAATGTATCTTTTGATTTCTTCCCTGGTCTCATTGTTAATCCATTCTGTTTATAGCATGTTATTTAGCCTCAACATGTTTGTGTATTGTTTAGTTTTCTGCTTGTAATTGGTTTTTAGTTTCATACTATTGTTATCAGAGAAGATGCTCAATGAATTCAATCTTACATTTATTGAGGTTCGTTTTGTGGCCTAACATCTATCCTGAAAAATGAGCCAGATGCTCATTTTTCAGGATAGATGTTAGGCCACAAAACGAACCTCAATAAATGTAAGATTGAAAAGAATGTATATTCTCCTGCTTTTGGTGAAATGTTCTCAAATTGTCAATTAAGTTCACCTGTTCTAATTGTCATTAAAGGCCACTGTTTCCTTTGCTGAATTTTCTGTCTGCATTATCTATCCACTGATGTCAATGGTGTGTTAAAGTCCCTTACTGTTCTATTACTGTCAACCTCTCTCTTTGTATATTTGGTCAATATTTGATTTATTTATTTAGGTGCTATGTT